AAAACAAATTAAAAATAGCAAACAAATAGAATCTCAAGGTGTGAATGGGCTTCACAAACTGACTCAGCTCACTGTTCCCAAAAAGATTTCCAGAAAAATGGTAAGCAATTGCATTATGTATCTGACTGGTCAAGGGGACAATAGATGTTTAGATACAAAAGTTCAGTTTTATCAATATACATAACAAAGAATACTGCATTTCTTAATAGTCATACTTCCGATATATGTTTACTAATTGTATTAATGTTATAGATAACTTTAGACTCCCCTTACTTAGCATGTGATGCCATGTTGACTCCGGGCATCTGCCTATTCAATTAAAATAAATATCCTATAAAGACGCCGTCTGTTTTCTCCGTACATGCTTTGTAGGTAGCTAGTTAGAAGTAGATTCTAGTTCTAATGCTGCTATTTAGTAGTTAGATGACCCTAGCCAAGTAATTCAGTTTTTGCATATGTAACTTGTGAATAATTATTCAAAATGTAGTTGAGAGAGTTAATGAAAAATAGGAAATGTGTGGCATATCTTCCTTCTCCTGTCCGCCCTCCCATAACCTGATTTCTCCTCTTCCAAATAGGCTAAGGATCAAAATTTCATGTCTGTCTGGGTTATTTTTTTAAATCTGTTATTCAAATGAATTCAGAAAAAATATGATCAAAGAGCAATGTGCTATTTCTATAGACTTTACAATTTTGAAATAGTTACTTCCGGCTAGTATTATAGTAAAGCATATTTTGGACATACAATTGTTGCATTTAGAGAAGATAGTCGAAAGAGAGAAAAAAAAAAGAAAGAAAGAAGCAAAAAGCTGTTTCAAAATATCCAATGATTCATTAAAATACTTTTGTTTCCTTAGGAAAAAAGTTTCCACATATGCACAGTAATCATTTGGCTTTTCTTAGGCTTAAGCCTTGGGGAGTTAGTGGTATTTGGCTCCTGACATGGAAGTCTTTCTCTTGTCAGACAAACCCTTTTCCCTGCACATTCCTGTGCAAGTTTGTTCTGTTGCGCCTGATGGCAGGCTGCGAGGTGGCTGGGTAGGGTTTGCACTGGCCAGCGGCCTCCCGCACACCCCTCGCTCCTTTAACCTCTTCCTGAGGCGTCCGAGCTCTGTGGCTAATCACTTGCTCATTGTTTCTCTTTACTTGAATGTCATTTACCTGGACAAAAGCTGTTACTATGAGATGGAGACAGACCAGTTAATGTGCATTAAATAAATCAACTTGTAGTTTTTGAGGTCCCTTTGGATGGGTTCTTTATTTTTGCTAATGACTCTTCAGGGTTTCATAAGAAAAGCAAGAACATTTCTGAGAGATTTGACTATTTTTTAGGGAATGAGTGTGCATTTTGAGAAAAAATATGAACTAGATTGCTTTTCAATGTTGTTTCGAGAAATTTAGGTTTTGATGATTTGAGATTTAGTCTCAACATTTTGAATTTCCTATATTCTCAAGAAAGAAGGTAACATTAAGGAAGTTTCATTCCAGGGAACAAACACCAAGGTGAGACAGAAAAGTGCACACGAGTAACATAGTTTTTAAAAAGGGCAAAGAATTGATTTACTGTCTAACTTAGACTCTAAAGCACAGGTCATGGAAAGTAGCTGAGACTGGAGCCCATGAAGAAGAAGATTAGGATGTTGCGAATGTCAGCATATCGAAGAATTGCTGTTTACATTCTGTGTTCTATTTTCTTCATGCTCAGACTCAGTGTTTGAAAATGTATGCAAATTAAATGTTAGCATTTTAGGTAGCTATTAAGGCCATTTGGCTACTTTAGAATTTTCCCTTTAAACATTGATGTTGGTGGTAAGGCTATAAGTGTGTGTGTGTGTGTGTGTGTGTGTGTGTGTGTGTTGTAAATGTAAATGTTTAAATTGATTCACTCTAATTTGTGAAAATTGCCCCAACTTAATCTGATAATGTATAGAGGGAATGAATGATAGATATGCCTTTTTTACTCCTCATTGGTAAATATGTCATAGGCTCCATTTTCATTTTATTTCTTTGATAGTCTCCAGCCAAATTTATTTAATTAGTAGAACTGCCTTAAAGAGTTGGGAGAACAATAACAAAAAAAAGAAGTATATTTTATAATAGTTTCAAACATTTTTATTTACATAGAAGAGTCAATATAGACATTTTAGTAGAATCACATGTGTTTGCATATCAAAAGAAACACTATATTAATATATATCCACATGAATGCTTATGTGCATAGGCAGACATATTACATTTATATGATATATAAAGAATATAGGGAATCAATGTGTCCATCGATAAAAGAATGATTTTTAGAAAATAGATTAATAAAAGGCATTATGATACAGTAGCAGTTTTGCTCCATTTCCCCATTTTATATTGAAAAGTATGTAATATTTAGGTTTATTTATTTGTATCAAGCCATTCAACAATGGTTTAAAAATAAAAACATAAAATTAGTTTGTAATGATCAAATTCTATCATCTTAAATAATTAGTAAATGTATACACAAATTCAACTACTATCAATTAAAAATTAAAAAAATATATTATTGGTATAGGTCATAATACTCCACTACATTTATATCAGGAGTTGCAGCTTAAAATATAAAAATTTAGTTTTATTTCATTTCATAATTGATTGCTAATTGAGATAAAATAACTCATCGCCTTCTTTGTTAACACAGTCAGGATTACATTGAAAACAAATGAAACAATAGCTGTGAAACTCAATTCTCACAAACTAATGCTGAATTAGACATTAACAGAAAATTAAAATCAGTTTCATAGATAGTAATGAACTTTTGTGGACAGTGAAGCTACTCTGTAGGTTAGTTTTAATTTCCTTCCCATATAAAAACTGCTTCTTTCTAATATGCCAGAGTATTAAGCAAAGAGAGTGGGCATATGCTTAACATGGTATGACTTCAAGTAAATGCCCATGTCCCTAGAGAAACAGGACTGTTCTAACTAACAAATAATAATATTCATTTAATTTATAACAGAATTTAAAGTTAGGAGTAACTTTAGAGGTCATTTAGATCAATCCTCTCATTTAAAAATTTTTACTTATTGATTGATTTTAGAGAGAGAAGAGAAAGATCAATTTATTGTTCCACCCACTTCTGCATTCATTGGTTGCTTCTTATATGCTCCCTGACAGAGGACTGAATCTGTAACCTTGGCAGTCCTTGGCATAGTGGATCATCAGTTGCCTCATTTTATATATAACTAATGCTACCATGGTGTTTTTACTAATGAAGTTAACTATAAATATGTTCAAATTTGTGCAAAGAGACTATAAGAAATATAACCACTCAATTGTTACAACCATCTACTCACTATCAAACATACACACTCACAAGGAATGAATTATCTATTTGTGAATAGATAATCAAAGTGCTAATTACATTGATATACATTTTAAACAAAAAAATCAATACAAATATTTATAAATAGCGACCCCAAAATAAAATGCAGTTGCTCATAATATACCTGAACATTTCAGGACTCACCTCACACAAGAACAACATAGTCACTGGTAGGGGAAAGAGTTTAGTTTATTGAATGAAACATTTATAATTTGTGGCTACAATTTTGAAGCTTAGAAACATAAGAGTTGGAGTTATGTATTTTGATAACATTTGCAAAATTATGTGATTACTGAGTATTCTAGAATGATTCATTTTTTTCTACTCATTCATTTTCCAGCATGCATTTTCCCCCTGAAATTAAAAACATGATATGACAAAGGATTAAGTTTTACAGGCATATAGATAATAGAATGTTCATTCTGTCTTTAGGAAAATGAATTTTATAATCTCCAGCATTATCCTTATATCTAGTTAACATTAAAGTTATTGATAATAAAAGTAATGTGTGTTTGATGATAAATGTTTGGAAATACTAAAAAGCAAGAATAAGAAAATAACAACGAAAAACTTGCCAGACAGAAAAACAATACAAAATACACTTTGGCAATTTTTATTCCCACAGTAGCTACCCCTCCCCTGCTCTTCTCCATCACATACATGTACACATATATGTAAAACTGCATATTTTTATTACACATTCTGACTCCACCACTTACATGCTGTGTGAACTTTGGCAGTTTACTTCATTTATCTGTGCCTTTGTTTCTTCATGTTCAAAATGTAGAGGATAACAATAACTGCATTATAGAATCGTAATGATTTGTGGGGCAACTAATAAGTATAAAGTTTTGTAAGTGTCTGGCATAATGTACTAACTATTAGTATCACTATTCCCATATGTTTAAAAATATTTTTAAAATCATCTAAATGTTCTCATTTTTATTTGAAAGCCACACTAGCCATGGCTAGATTCTTGTTTTATTTTCTGTAAGCCACAACAATACCCCTTTTCTTTATGATAATGGTGGTAAGAGGAACATCTGAAAAATATGTTCCATGCAAAATGGATCTTCACACAGACTTATTTTGTCATTTTAGTTTGATTTTTGAGAAATGAGTTAGGCACATCTGCCAAATCCTTTTATAAGATGCTACATTCCTGTTTTTATTTTAGTTTATTTCGTTTATAGAACGCACTTTTCTCCTCCACCCCACCCTCAGATAATTAGGCCTCCATCCCCCATTTCTCCATGTCCCAAACTATGGAGTTGCCATATGTTAAATGTTTAAAATAAAAAGTGGAAGAAAAGTGGGGAAGAAATCTGTCTTTTTTTGGTCTGTTTGGTTTTTTTGCAAAGTCATCCTTCTTTTGGTATATCTAGATTAACAAAAAACTTTCACACTCTGGAAATATACAATCTGATAAAGGTCTTTAATTTTTCTTCTAAATTTGACATATATATATTTTTTGAGGGTGGGAAGGAGAAGGTTGGTTTGGGGAAGGGAAAGGTGGGGTAAAGCAGAAGAAGAATCAGCTTAAGAACAAATGTTATTATATATATTATATATTTAAATTGAAAAGTTAAATAGTTAATGCTTTTTTACAAACTGTCTTTGATACTGTGTTTTGTTTATTCCATCCCAGAAAAAGTTAGCGGTATACAGCAAGATGCAGGACTCTCTGGAAGTCACCCTTCCCAGCAAACAAGAGGAGGAGGAGGAGGATGAGGAGGAGGAGGAGGAGGAGGAGAAAGACCAGCCTGCCGAGATGGAGTACCTTAACTCTCGCTGTGTCCTTTTCACTTATTTCCAGGGAGACATTGGGTCAGTAGTGGATGAACACTTCTCAAGAGCTTTGGGCCAAGCCAGCACCCTCCATCCAGAATCTGCCATTACAAAAAGCAAGATGGGGCTAACCCCCCTATGGCGAGGTAAGAATTCAATAGCAGATGCTCTCCAGGGCCCTGTCTCTTTCACAACCGCCTGTACCAGTTTCCAGCTGGAAAGTTGCCCCTGAAGGACGGATATCCACTTGCTTTTTAATTTTTAAGGACAGCAAGGAATTTCTTTCAGACAAACAGCTGGATCAGTTTTGTCACATGTGGAATGCAGGGTTGGAAAAGATGCAGTCACACCCCTTAAATTCCTCATGGAAAGTAGTGATGCAACCAGCCGGAGTTTATAGTGGCCAGATCTAGCTGCGAGGCACCATTCCTCAAGCCCCCATGGCCCAATTTGGATGTCTAAATAACAGGCGTGCCTGGATCAGCTTTTAAAAATTAGCTCTCTCTCATTCCACTAGGTGCTACGTGGTGACATAGCAGAGATCGGAGTCTGGCCCGGGAATACCAGCTTTGAAAGCCATCTCTGTTCTCTCGATAGCTTTCCCTGTCCTACTTTGCTATGTATTAACTCTTTGTCCTGTACAATCCAGACATTACTGACTATATGTATAGGGTTGGACCTCGGTGAAGTAAAACAGTAGACTGGGAATTCTCTTCTTTATTCCTGTCTATGTAGAGGTCACAGAGTTTGTTTGAATCTGATTGTTAGCTCACTGAAAATTGTTGGATGACATGATAATTACAAGGCTAGAGAAAACACACACACACACACACACATCATTCCAATAGTAGTTTTAGAGAAATGTGTTATGGACTTCTTTTCTGAACTCACTAGGTTGTTTGAAGCATTTAGGCAAATGGTTCACAGAGGGTGGTTTCCAGGAGGAGGAACGTGGGTCTCACATGGGAGCTGGTTGGAAAAGCAGGTTTCTGGACCACACTCCACACCTACGGAGCCAGAAACTCAGGCGTAGTTTGTGTTTTGGCCAGGCCTCCCAGTAATTCAGATGCAGGCTCTTATTTGATAACCATTTATCTGGGGTTGTTATCAACACAGATTGCAGGCCACCTAACTCAGTCCTACTGAATCGGTGTTTCTAAAGGGAGGCTCTGGGAATCACACTTGAACAAGTGCTGCAGGTGATCCTATGGTGAGGAAAGGCTACCTGTGGTTGGGGGCAGATGAGAGGTGATGAGTGGTCAGTCTCCTCTCAGCATCAGAGGAATGGTTCTGCTCCTTTGTAGGGGAGATTCTATAAATCTTTGAAATTGCTGGGCCTGATCTGTAGATAGGATGGCCCCTCCCTCCCTCTCTCCCTCCCTTCTTCCCATCCTCCCTCCCTCCCTTCTTCCCAACGTCCCTCCCTCTCTCCCATCTTCCCTTCCTCCCTCTCTCCCTTCCTTCCTGTAAATAAGAATAAGATAAGCAGTGACTATAATGAGAAGGAGGAATACAAACTCAAGTGACTTGAGCCTTGACAGAGATGGATTGGGAATTATAACTGCTTATTTGATTAATACATATTACAGACTTCCCAAAGAATTGAGAATGTTATGTAACCAACCAATGTCCTATTTGATAGTACATGGTGAATACATTTAATAACTTGGAAAAGGTAAAAATAAGAAAACTAATGAATCAGCTGACTTTAATAGTTTGTTACATCAATAATAGATCCTATCAAGATATATATATATATATTTTTTTTAAATTTACTTATATATTTATTTATTTATTTATTTATTTATTTATTTATTTTTTTGCTAGTAGAGTAAAAAATACAATGCCTATTTCTTTTAGAATACTGGCATAGGCAACCTTAGTAATCATTTAACCTGGAATAAAGAAACAAGAGCCCAAAATTATAGCTATATGTGAGCGTGATTGTCCATAGTATCACAATTAGAATTGTTTTAAGTGAGGTATTGTATATATGCAAAAAATCTGCAGTTCAGTGTTTTTTCCTATAATATGCATGACTGAATAGAGAAGACATTTGGACAGATATCAAATTTCAGTACAAAGAAGGTAAATAAGGTAATGTTTTAGTAACTATTGTTTTAATTTTCTTGGCATTATCTTAAATTTGGCCTTCAAATCTACTTCCTCTTATTCATTGATTTACACCACACATCTCTCTCAGGGTCCTACTGTGTTCTAGGTAGAACGGTTGTATCAGTGTGCAAGAGAGTCTAAGGCTCTACACTCATGGTGCTCTTTAGAGAAAGAGATAGGTAACAAATGTGCAGTGGAACCCAAGGGACCATTCACTTAGGGTAATAATAGATGTTCTCTCTGAAACCATTATATTTGTGCATAGATCTGAAGGGAGAAAGAGTGCTCTTCAGCACATGAATATCCAGAAGAAGATTATTTGAGGCAGAGAGAACATCCAGTGCAAAGACCCTAAGTAAAGACTGGATTAGGAATGTATAATGTGAAATAGAAATGGTGGTGGATGTGGAATGCAATGAAAAGTGAGAGGTAGAAACAAGAATCTTTAGAGTTGTTTATGTCAGTTTAGTTTACCAGAGCAGCACAGGCAAACACAGTGGGCTCTTCAATTTCCGTTTCTCCATCTCCCACTAATTACTTTCCCTAATACTTGGGATAATGCATTCCTATAAGGAAGATCTGGAATAAATATGAATTGAATGATTAAGGGACTGACTTAGATAAACCAAGTTCACACCATGTATCCCAGATTAGAAAAAAATGTCCTCAATGGAGAATTTATTAGCAATACCTTGTATAAAATCATTGATTACAGTTTTGTTATTTGTAAAATAAGGGGGTTGAATTAAATGATCATTGAAATCTTTTCTCCGTAAAGTTCTGTAATTTCAAATATATTGTTTACTTCCCATTTGTGAATAGAACTCTGCCATAGCTGTTTCTAGTTGTGAGTCAGCATTTTTAGACAAACCAAACATAACTTGGATATAATTAATAGATTCACGAAATAAAGATTTAGAAAATAATATCTTTTTTAAAAATATATTTTATTGATTTTGTACAGAGAGGAAAGGAGAGAAATAGAGAGTTAGAAACATCGATGAGAGAGAGTCATCGATAAGCTGCCTCTTGCACACCCCCTACTGGGGATATGCCCGCAACCAAGGTACATGCCCTTGACCGGAATTGAATCCGGATCCCTTCAGTCCCCAAGCCGATGCTCTATCCATTAAGCCAAACCGGTTTCGGCTAGAAAATAATATCTTAAAAAGAGGTATAATAAATTGAGACCCCATGTCTAGCAAGTAGAGTTATGGGGAGTTTTGTATTAGTTGCCAAAGTCATACAGGTTTGGTTAATGCAGTCTTTGGGTTCTGTTTGTTTTGAGTTCAAGTTTGGGCCTTCTTACTGTCTGGTTGCAATGTGATTTGGAATTAATTACTTAAATCTCTCGGGCTCAACTTTGCCTATATCATATGTATTTATTGATATCAATTTCCTAGGGTTATAATAAGTAGTTTTTAATAGTGTGAGTGGAGAATTTGGCATAGGGCTTGATGCAAGGTACTAAATGAAGGTCAGGTGCATTTCCTCTTTTTCTTGTGTCCACTCATTTTACACATAAAACACCAACCTTGGGTCTTTGTACGAAACATTGTGTATAGAAGTTTGTATTTCTGGCAGAAACACAGTGTCTTGGACATAGTAGATAACAAGGCTATTGACTGCGTTGATGGCCATCGTAGTAATATTTTATGCAGGATTTGCTGATCAGTTGAATTGAATTAAAGGGTCTAATTTAGGGCATGGAGTTTTTACAGTGCCACACAAGTGCTATAGTGCTATAAAGGAATTTAAAATTGAATTATGTTTGATTGCAGAATATAATACACAGTAAATCTTTAGACAATAGAATGTCAGCTAATAATGGACTAATGGTCGTGCTTTGTGTATTTTGATGGTGTGAGGAAAGTCCTGTTCAGGTGTTTTGCAGCTGTTAGGCAAACAAGTGACAAGCAATATTTGTATTTTGTTAGTCATGATATAATATAAATTCTCTCATATTTTACCACACATTCTAGCAGAGATTGAATAAGGCTTCTCAGTTAAGAAAATCTAATTAATCCTATTGTCCTCTCATCCCCATCCAAATAGAAACATCAGTTTCAAATATGTCTATGTATTGATCTCAGCTCCCAAATATTACTGAAAGTGTGTGTGTGTGTGTGTGTGTGTGTGTGTGTGTGTGTGTGTAGGAAAGGGGAGTCATTAAGTTGAGCCACAACAAAAAAAATCACTGACTTAAAAACCATGCTGAGCCCAGCCAGTGTGGCTTAGCGGTTCAGCATTGACTTATGAACCAGGACATCATAGTTCAATCCTCAGTCAGGGCGCATGCCTGGGTTGTGGGCTCAATCCCCAGTAGGGGGTGTGCAGGAGGCAGAAAAATGGATGATTTTCTCTCATCGTTGAAGTTTCTATCTCTCCCTCTCCCTTCCTTTCTGAAAGCAATAAAATTATATTAAAAAAAGAAAAATCATGCTGAATAGTAACATATTTACTGACATTTTTTCTTACTGTAGCGGCAAAGCAATTGTTGCTTGATTGATCTAGTAGTGTGTGCTTTGAGCAATTTATTCTGGCCAGAAAGACCTCTCTAAATGAGTGTAACCTAAAACAGCAAAAGGGAGAGGGGAGAAGGTTTTCTGAGCCACTGAGGCTGGGAAGGAGATGGTGGAGCCAGATCTCCAGGAGGCTCTGCTGGGACCTTCGCTGCTGAGACTTTTAGAGCAGGCACCTGGAAGAAAAGTGAGGTCTGAGGTATCTCAGTATCCTGCCCCCAAAGAGTGTGGGCATCTGCTGTCGCCCTTTGAATTTCTCATTTTAGAGTTACAAGACCCATTTTGAGCAACTCTAGAACAAAGTAGACAGAGGGCAATCTTTGAAGATAATGGTAATGCCCAATTCCCGCCTGACAGAAAGCGTTGGAACACATATCTTTTCACCTCTGACCCAACTATTTATTTTCATGGGAAGCAGAACAAGAGGATGGGAATTAAATTATAGTATGGACTTTTTAGGTTAAAAATGCGGTAGCATTTCCCCCCCCCCCCCCACCGAGTTTACTAAAAAGATAAATGTTATCTTTTAACATTGCTGTTTTAAGTCAATATTTGTTCTAAGAATGTTTTCTGAATGTTTTTAAGATAATTTGATAGTGGTTCTATAGAAGTTTATTGTCCCATTTTCCCTCTTAATATAATTTTTCCTCCCAAAGTTAAGTGATACAGTTCTTAATTTAAAAATAAATGTTGAATTTTTCTATTGCTTATATTGTTTGCCCTTATATGTTTTCTTAGAGATATTTACAGTTAATATAAAAAGTCCCCCAGCTACTATGAATTGAAAGAATCATTTGATGGCTCATGCTAAATTCTTCTATATATCTAAGATATATTTCCAGTGTGAATCACACAGTGAAATTACTGGGTATATTTTGGGTGGATTGTAGTGGATAATGTTTCAATTTTGTCATTTTGTTGTTTAGGAATAAGGGTGTGTGAGTGTATAATATTTTTCAATCCCAAATGCAAGCTGAATCAATGTATGGATTTTCTGTATGTGTCAGATTATCAGCGTTAACATCATCCAACTGCCAAGTAACACTGATCCCACAGTCACCCTGGCGAGTTAACTTTGTTCAGTCTGAAGTGCCTCCACCAACCTGAAAAGTAATATTGCATGGAAATAGCTCATACAGTTTCTCATATGCTTTTTCATCCAATAAATGTGGCTATGATTAAGTTCTTGTGAGCAAAGAGTCATGTAATGAAAAAAATTTACATACATATGAAATAAGTACACTGATTCCCAAGCATGAAATAAAAGCATATCATCTGTTTCTTTGTATCAAGATTTTTTCCTTAACAATCAAGATACCAAATAGTGGTTTTGAAGTTTAGACTTGTCCTGAAATATATTTTCTATTCAGTATCATTTCATTTGCTTGTCAAATGTAACATTGTTTTTGAAACGGCTGCATATTATACTAATCTCAGGAGACATACCAACTGGGAAAAGACTAAGTTGCTTCTAATTTTATGTTTCCCTAAGGCATTTTAAAGCTTTGTTCAGACTTTATGAAGTGCATTTTTAAAAATAGAGTTTCAGTTTCAATGACAATGTGTTCACTAATCCCAATACAATACTTTCTAAATAGGACAATATTTTTGGTAAGGAATTTGTTCATTATTCACTTTTGTACATGCATATCCAAAATGCTGAGGCATCTATAAAATAAAATTGGGTCCAAATACATATAAATGAAAATAAATAAAAGGAAAGCAGCCAGAGAAATGACATGTACTCGCTGCACTTTTGATATTTTAATGGTGGCTTTTACTGAGGAATTCCATATCTCTGGCACACACCCGCTGATTGGGTTCAGCAATGTTTATAACAGGATTTTGGCCTCACTGGGAGATGACAGTTATGAGTAGAATGAAGGATTTGGTACCAAAGTTTGGATCTATGAAAGCAAAGTGGCAGATTGGTGGTGGCAAAGCGGCACTGTATGATGTAAGGAGCTCTATAAACTCTTTGTTTGGGTTTTGAACTGTACACATTGACAGATTCCATTGTGGGTGTGACAGAAATATTCCATAATGAGCATCACTTAAGGCAAATTGAATTTTCTTCTCACAGTTTATGCAATTTTCTTTCTTGTCATTAGCAGCTATTTTTCCTATGTCAAAGGAAGACCATTCTTAAATAAAACGTATGTGCTCCAGTGCCAATAAGTTTGATTTCAAGTGCTATTTTCTGATGAATTGTGATTGTGACAAAACAAATTCATTCAATGAAGAGTATGCCAGGACCGTTTGAAGATTTGAAGAATGATGTCCACTTCTATCCTTTGCCTTTGGAAGACTAATACTTCCTAGATTTCCCAAGGGGGTTGAGGTCCACAGAGATTCTTTGGGAGAGAGACTTGATTATGAGATAGGACTCGCTGTCTGTCCATAGAATAAATAGAGTGAATGATGAGCACTCTGGGCAGACGGGAAGAGTGGGAAAGCTTGCAGTGCTAGTGCCACAGCTTTTAGGGAGGCTAGAGAAAGGAAATGTTTGAATACCACAGTGATACCCTAATTATATTAGTCAAATTACAGATGTGGTGGTTGATTCACACTACACAAGCTTTCCCTGAAGCTAAACAAATAAACAAACAATTGGCCTGGAAATTTATGAAGTGAGCACTTGGACATGGATATGTCAGACTTTTGAATGCTTTTATTTCATAGTACTTTTTAGGATGTCCTTTATTCAATGGGAAGATCTAGCTATGTGTGTGTGTGTGTGTGTGTGTGTGTGTGTGTGTGTGTGTGTTTGTGTGTGTGTATCCCAGCATAAAAATACTATCTTACTTTACAAGCATGACTAATATGTTAAGCAACCTTATCCTAATCTATAGACAGAAAATAATTTATAGGCCACTTTACAGAGTGATAGAAGTATGGAGCCAGAAGATATTTAAAATTTTCATTCAAATGTCTCATACTTTAGTGGAAGACTGGGCTACTGAGAGGTCAGCAGATCCATTTGGGGTCATAAAATGAGATAGGATTGCCCTAGTCAGTTTGGCTCAATGGTTAGAGTGTCAGCCCATGGACTAAAGTGTCTTGGGTTCGATTCTGGTCAAGGGCACATACCTCAGTTGTAGGCTTATTCCTTGGCCCCAGTAGGGGCACATGCAGGAGGCAACCAATCTAGGTGTCTCTGTCACATCCATGTTTTTCTCTCTGTCTCCCCCCCTCCTTTCCACTGTCTCTAAAAATCAATGGAAAAAAAAACTATCACCAGTTGAGAATGAACAACAACAAAAACAAATGAAATGATATAGGATACGAAGTGGGTGCTAGTTTTTTTGACTGAGCTTTCTAGACTCCCAGTCCAGTGCTCACTCATTTCCACCACATCATGGTCACAGGCTCTCACTGGGGGTGTACGTCTTCCTAAATGGAGATCTGACTATTTTAGACTCCAGATGAAAACCTTTCAAGCTCAGAGATTTCTCAGGACAGCACCCATATTCAGTACATGGTTGGCAAGGTCATACCCACCTGTGCCCTTCTTGAACCCTCTTATAAAGTTTTGCCACCATTTGCCCATAGAACTCTTTTTGATACTTCAAATGGTACTTTGCATGTATAAAGTATGTGCGTGTGTGTGTGTGTGTGTGTGTGTGTGTGTGTGTGTGTGTATGTGGTTTTTGGTCTTTTTCACATACTTTTTTATTTGCTTAAAACACTCTTCACTACTTCTTCCCAAGGCTAGCCTGACTCTTTCAATTTAGCTTTCTCTTTCTTAGGCTTCTGTGTTTTTCTTTAGGAGAGCACCTACCATGTCACGTGCGCTTTATTGTCTGTCCTCTGTCAGGTTGTGATTAAAAATGACATCTCTTGACCATCTGTGTTTGGTACCTAGTAGGTCTATAATATAAATATGTTACTAAGATTGAATGGAGAAAGTGAATTGAAGCAGTCTGGGAAGGTTATCTCTCTTATTTCCCTTTCCCAAACACCTTCTCAAATCCATCACTAGTTGTTAAATCTCTTGATTTCCACAGGATCTTCACCAAAATTTAATGTTCAAGTTATAGTGACAAGTGTGCCCTCTTGTGGCACAATTGTGAAGACTGCTGGCCATCCAGGAAGCAGGCTACCTGTTTCAAAGCTCATTTTCCTACAGGCCAGCTGTGACGTCTTGGGCTTCTTCCCTGCCTCTATTTCCACATGGATAAAATGGGAATAACAGTAACAAAAAATAACAGTAACTATCTGAAGGGAGGATTAAGATCATCTGTGGAAACTGTTGGGCATTTGGTCAATATCATTAAGTGTTAACTATTATTCTTATAGACTCCCAGAACTCCACAGTGGGGGAAAAAAGCCAAGAATACTCTTTCTGATGGAAAGTGAGTGTTGATGAGCATAATTAAATGCAACCTTGTTTCCATTTGTTTCATTCAACATTAAAATGTTTAGTTTGGCCGAAACTGGTTTGGCTTAGTGGACAGAGCGTCAGATTGCGAACTGAAAGGTCCCAGATTTGATTCTGATCAAAGGCATGTACCTTGGTTGCAGGCACATCCGCAATAGGGAGTGTGCAGGAGGCAGCTGGTCGATGTTTCTCTCTCATCGATGTTTCTAACTCTATCTCTCTCCCTTCCTCTCTGTAAAAAAATCAATAAAATAAATTTTAAAAATGTTTAGTTTGAATGAAAATTATATTTGCATTTAAAGGAAGTAAGTAAGCATCATCATTTCCAACCTACTTGAACCCCATCTATGCCATACGTTTTCTTTCCCTGGGACTAGGGACTTAGGACCTTTGCTCAGACTTGGTGGCAGCAAGTCACTCAGGAGGAAAGGAAGCGTTTCAACCCCAACTTGGAGACCTCAATACAGATTGTGACTGAATAAACTGCACAGACCAGGGCAGGGGACCCAGCACCGTGAACCCTGCACATTGACGTGGCCTGGAGACTCACTTAGCCTCAGCTCACTGCTGTGTGGAGGCAGGAAGTGCATCCTAATCAGCCTGCTATAAAACAGTGGACGTGTGGAGGCAAGTCTCTCCTAGGATGGAATCTTACGTGAATAATTTATTTTTCTGTTTTCTCAGACAGCTCAGCTCTCGCAAGTCAGAGGAGTAGCTTCCCAACTTCCTTTTGGACCAGCTCTTACCAGCCCCCTGCACCCTGCTTGGGGGGAGTTCACCCTGACTTCCAGGTCACTGCGCCCCCTGGCACCTTTACTGCAGCCGACCCCAGTCCCTGGCCAGGACACAGCCTGCACCAGACTGGCCCAGCCCCTCCCCCTCCTGTGTCTGAGTCCTGGCACTACCCTTTGGCATCTCAGGTGAGCCCATCCTACAGCCACATGCATGATATGTACTTGCGGCACCACCACCCCCATGCTCACATGCACCACCGGCACCACCACCACCACCACCACCACCACCACCCTTCTGCTGGCTCCGCCCTGGATGCGTCCTACCGGCCCCTGCTGATGCCATCAGTGCGAGCAGCCAGGATTTCTGCTCCCCAGTGTGACATCACAAAGACAGACCCAACCACAGTCAGCACTGCTACCTCAGCGTGGGCCGGAGCCTTCCATGGAACTGTGGACATAGTGCCAAGTGTGGGGTTTGATGCAGGTGAGCTGGGGAACTCCCCCTTTCCATAAGAGAAAAAGCTAAGAAGTAAATCTTTTAAAGAGGGGATATTCTAAGTGCCTTGAAATATTTTTTTTTCCCTTATGTGTAAAATTAAGCTTCACCAATATGTTTATGGAACCTAACCCTGTGCAATAATTCCTGCAGAAACTGGTGTGAGTAATTCATGGAGTACAGTCTGAGGAAGCTAGCTATCTGTCCCTTTGGGCTGGAATCTTTGGTGCTTTGTGCTTGTAAAGTATATTGAGCATATTCTCTAAATCTCCCTTGTCTCTGTGCTCTGTGCTATGTGCAATGCTTAATAGAATCATAAATAGTATGTTTCAGTCGTTTTTATTTCTCTTCTTTTTTTGTTAAGTCTTATTTATGGTTAAAACAAAACAAATTGCCTCCTGGAATGTAGTCCATGGTCTACTCTTTGAAAAAGACTAGCGAATGTATTTTTTTTAAAACTGGATTTTTCTTCCCTTTCTTTGCCCTTTTATCTATCCCCCTTTCCTCTCTCTCTCTCTCTCTCTCTCTCTCTCTCTCTCTCTCTCTCTCTCTCTCTCTCTTTTAAATAATACCAGATTTCATAAAACTACTATAAAGTTTATGTTCAACAGATTTTTAAAAAATGGTAAGAGAAATATTTATCCATAGAGTATTCAGCTCCTCTGGAATTCACTGGTTCTGAAGGTCATAGTGTTAAATGTGTGAGCTTGGTTTTTGGACCAGACTGTCGTATTAATGGTATTAATAGTTCCCAGGTTAACAAAATCACAGGCTCCAGAAGCTAAAAAAGACCCATCAAGTCAGCGATTACATCCCCAGAGTCTACATTCCAAAAGCATCCATTTCACCTTTAGTTCCAGGTTCTTTCCCTGGAACATTTGACGACACTTTCTTTCAGAAGTTTAGAGAGTCACCGTTTCCTTGGTTTTTCTGTAGTGTGCAGGGCCTTTAACCTGAGTGCTGGTTCACAGGAAAGACCTCCCCAGAGAAATGCATGCCCAACATCAATTGGCATTCACTCTGACAGGAGTGGAATAGCCTAAGAGTTAATAGCCAATAACTTGGTTATTGCTTCTGCACTGAGCTTTCCAAGTTGGTCTGTGCCTGGCCTCATCTACTTCAGATTCCTAGTGAGTCTCTGGTTCAAACTGCTTTTTTAAGAAACTGTCAGGGGACTTGGTTTTCTCTCTAGGAGAAGAGAATGTGGTGGGGCTAACTACAGGCTCCCCTTCTTTCTTAGCCTCATGCTATCAGAATGAAGGCAGCTCTTGAGTTGTTGGATGCCTGGGGCCAGATCTGAGTAGAGTTCCAGTTTGGTAGTTGCTATCCTGGAGGCTCTTTCTTGTTGTCCTTCCATGGTACCGGCATGGTCACACTGTATGCTTTCAGTAGGCAAAAAGGATGTTTTCTCCTTTCTCGGTGACTTTGGGCTGCTATAATAGAGTACCTTTCATTGCATGACTTAAATAGCAAACATTTAGTTTTCATACTAAATTAAAACTAAATAAAAGGTACTGCTATAATAGAGTACCTTTCATTGCATGATTTAAACAGCAAACATTTAGTTTTCAAACCAAACTTCCCATAGTTCTGGAAGCTGGAAAGTTCAAGGTCAAAATTCTGGCACTTTCAATACCTGGTGAGGGCCCACTTTCTGGTTCATAGACTCTGTCTTCTCAATGTGTCCCCAGAAGGCATAGGAGACAAGAGAGCTCTCTGAAATCTCTTGTAAGGGCACTAATTGCATTCATGAGGGTTCTGCCCTAATGTCCTAATCACCTACAAAGCCCCCATCTCCTAATACTATCACATTGGTCATTAGGATTTAACCTATGAATTTTAAGGGGGACAAAGACATTCGGTCAAAAATATTCCCTCTGTGTATTCTATAACATAAAGACCGCAAATGGGTGTGATTGCTTGTTGCTCTCCATTTCTAATTCTCTGTTACCTGTTACCTATTTTTCTAGTTATCAGCTTTGGGCTGTGAGAAGAATTGGGTAGAAGTCTCACTATGATTATGTTGAACTGTGTGATAGTTGATTCTACAGGGATCTCAGGAGCCCAGATGGCTTTTTATAATTGTCCTGCCTTAAGTTGAGTTGGATGGGCTTTTTTTATTCCTGCATCGACTGGTTATTGGATGGATTTGCCTATTAAAAAGGAAATGCCATTAGGCAAGATGGCTTTATTCAGCTGAAGGTAATTCCCGAAGAGAGAAACAGTTGAAAGTCATGAGCTGCCAACAGTGGGGAAATGAATGTTTTAACATGGAATGGGGAAGGATCAGTGGCCCACCACAATATCCACTCTAGGGGAACAACAAAGGAGTAGTAGCTCTCCTCCCACTTTTCTCACTCCTTATTAAATAACAGAAGTTTCTGTGTAATAGGCCCAAGCTAGGGAAGTAGGTTAGCTGAGAAGAATGAGACATAGGTTCCTCTATCCAATCTATGAAACATTGACCCAAAATAGTGGCTCAGCTCAGGTCTCAGCATCAGTGTTGGGTGACTACCCAGCAACTGAGGGAACAGCCTGCATTCAGGTGAGACAGCTGTGAAACTTCTCACAACCCAGGTACATTCCATTAGGAAATAAATTAATGCAACCATTTTGAAAGCAATTTGGTTATGGATATGACATTTTCAACAGTCGGGGAAAGGTTTAATAATGCTAGGTGCATTTTTATTTTGCAGCCATCTGTAGGAAACCTGGAAGGTTGAGCATAATATAAAGCTCAATGACTAAAGAAAATTTCAGAATATCATGTCTGATAAAACCCAAGGGTCAGCAAAAAATTTCTGTAAAGGGCCTGATAGAAATATCCAATTACTTCATATGATCATACTGTCTGTCACCACTACTCAGCTTTGCTTTTATAGTGTTGAAGCAGCCACAGAGACTTAACTAAATGAGGATGGCTGTATTCCAATAAAAATTATATTGACACTGAAATTTGAATTTTACATAATTTTCATGTGTCTTCAAATACTCCTTTTGATTCCCTTTTTTCTCAATCATTTAAAAATATATAAACAATTTTTCCATACTTAGCTCATGGGCTATGTATATAAACAGGAATGGGCCTGATTTAGTTTATAAGCTGTAGCTTTCTGACCCCTATATAATCTCATATGTGCAATTTCTATTTATGCACTCAAGCGTGCACATACACACACATTTGCACCTGCACTTGCATAATTAAAATGATCTGGAAGTATATGCCTCCACTTGTAATGATTGCTTATAAGTAATTAGTAGGCATCCTGAGCTGTGAAGACAAGACATATTTTATAAGCCCACCTCTGGCACTCACTAACTACAGGGTTATAGGGTTTTGGGCAAATTACATAGTCCAAAAGATGCCTCAATTTATCTTTACAAAATACCTCTGGATTGTTTTGAGGATTAAATGGGCTAATGACATAAAACATATAGAATGCCAGCCAGGGCCTTTCTTTGTTCTGTGCTGCCTCCTGTTGGTCAGCATACCTCATAGTGAGTGATAGAACTCCTGGTCTCCTGGTCAAACTCCTGATGGGACACTTTGCATGTTAGCCTTTTACACACACACACACACACACACACACACACACACAAGAGGTCCAGAGCATAAAAATTCATGTACTTGGGGAGGGGGGTCCCTCAGCCCGTCCTCTCCCTCTCATAATCCAGGAGCCTTCAGGGGTGGGAGGTAACCTGGCAATCAGGGGAAGGTGATGCCCCCATCACATTTCTGCTGCTGCTACTGTTAGCAGCTCAAGCCTCAACCAACCCTGGTAACCTGAGCCTCGGGTGGCCCTGGGGGACTCTGGAGGCAGGCGGGTAGAATGGCTGGGCCCACCTAGGCCATGCATCTGCTGCCCAGTGGGGCTGAGGGGACTGGGCCCCACAATCTTGTGGCTGTGTGCACCTCCATCTTAGAGGGCGTGGCAGTCAGTTAGCATATTCCCTCCTTATTGGCTGTGGGCACTGTCCTCTTTGTGATGGCATGAGGGTCAATTAGCATATTCCCTCTTTATTAAATAGGATTGATATACATCATAACATAGCTGTCTTCCTCATGAAAATACCTATCTTTACAAAACACTGTTATCGCAAATCCCATATTAGGCTTTGCTCATTCTCTTTAACAGTCTCAAATAGGGTTTCATGGGAACAGTAGTTTTGGCATGTGATAATAAGAACTTAACTGAAAAAATAAAAGGTCCATAGTGAGATGATTTAGTTAACATTGCTACCACATACCTCTCTTTGAGATCACAATCATACATCCTTTAGTAAAGAAACATGTTAAAATTTAATAGGAGATTTTCCACTTTGATTTTCTTATGGGCACATTTTGTTTTTAGCATACTTATTAACTTTTCATGTAAGGCTCTTTGTGAATGCTATTGACCTTAGTTTTTATCCCACAATAAAAGCTACAGATTTCAATTTTAATCAGTGACTTTCACCTTTCTTTAAGCTACTGTAGAGAGGAAGATTAAGAATGGTAGCTAGAGCCAAAGATAAATACCAATAAGGGTAAGATGAGGGGGAGAGTCTAGGATATGGAGGACTAATTTCAGTAAGCTCAGAGTATTGTACTAGGCCCTTTTGTGTCAGGAAAAAGAGAGTTACATGTGGACAGAATTGTGATTGTGAGACAACATAGTATTAGATAGGCATGTGCAAGTGCAAGACTACATCTCTTCCTATCATGCACATATTTTTTTGTATGATGACATTAAGTAAATTCTGACCAGTATTCATCTTTCAGTGGCCACAACCATACAATGAATTTTACTGAAATGCTGACATTCTTATTTTCTGTTATTACCAAAAATTCACCTAAAATAAGATATATAATGCTTCATATCCCCACCAGTTTAAATTAATTTTTAAGTAAATATTTCTTAATGAAGTATTTTTACTAAAATACAGAGTTGACTTTATTTATAACTTCCACTTTAACCACTGTTTTTAAATTTAGCAAAAGGAAAAGC